TCCTTTTCTCTGTAAATCTGACTTTCAAATAATAAATGAATAAATAAACTTAAAAAGAAACACAAAAACATATGACTTCTGCCCTTGCCCCATGCCCAGCCCGGGATGGCATTGGTGTCTGTTGTGGCAGACCCGTGGGGAGGGGAGTCCAGGTCTCTGCTCACTTGAGGTTTACATAGTCCAGGAAATATGAGGCAAAGAACCTTGACATCTGGTCCAAGTACTAAGGTCTGCTTGAAAAGGAGAGACTGCCTCTGTACCCAGACTTGCGGCGACTCTGTCCTCCCCTTGTCAGGACGCCCATCTGTCTGGCCCACCTTGGCCCGCCCAGGGTGGGAGGTGGTCTTCCAGGAACCTGGGCCCTCATTCTGCTGCCAGGAGTGATGTGTGACATTAGCTGACCTGGGGACACAGGGTGGAAATGGCTTCAGCTGACTTGTGATGGGGTGGGTCAGGGAGGCAGGGGCGAAGGCAGTGGGGTGCAGCAGGATGTCCCCCAAGCCGAGGATCCAGCATCGCAGCAACAGCACCAGGATTACGAAAGTCGAGCCCATCCTGGCAACAGAAATGTATCACAGTTCAGTTACCTGCCAAGGTCAGGCAACCAGGAAGTGGCTCAGCTGGGATTTCCCACTCAGCGGTGTGAGGCCAAAGCCTTTCTCCTCGCCATTCAGTTAAGCCCATGGACAGGAGAAGTGAGTGACTTGGAGCCCACAAGAGGGTACACTGTGGGAAGGGGAGGCCCGAGCTGGGGGCAGGGGCTGGGGCAGAGGGGTGACTGTGTGGGGTCAGCGCTCTGAGGCAACAGGCCTGGATCCTGCAGGTCCTCTCCGTGCCTTCAATTGTGATCGATGCGGTGTTAGGCCGTGGCAATGGTGGTCAGAATAAAGGATAGTGGCAGAACCGGGCTGGTGGGTTCTAAAGGAAGAATGGCCAGGATCTGACAACTTGGAGGTGTAGAAAGAGCGAGAATGAGAGAGGGAGAGAGGATGACCGTCAGGTTTCTAGCTCCGGCAGCTCGAAGGATGATGTTTCTCATTTTATTTCTTGCACTGTCTGGCTATGGGCCCCTGGGGACCTCCTGGAGCTTTTTGGATGTCTGTCTTGCTCGCTATAAAATGAAGACCATGAAACCTGACCTCCCCACGTATGCGGATGAAGATGAAGTCACCCATCTGGAAGTGCTGCGGAGAGGCCAAAAGACTTGGCAAATGCGAGTGGTGTCATTTCATGGTTACCTTTCTGTCCACCCCCGCCGTGGGGCTTGCAGATGGAGCTAGACAGGCCCGGGGGAGCTCCTTGTTGGGAGGGAGGCAGCCCTGTGTCTTCTCCATCACGCAGATCTGTCTCTTTGGCAGGTGGGAGCCACATTCCCACGTACTAAATTGTTAATAGCTTCCCCGGGGAGTTCCTCTGAGCTCTGACTCCACGGTGATTCCTGTCGCCGGCTGCTGATGCCGCTGCTGCTAGAGGTTGGCCCAGCATTTCCCATTCACTCTGGGTTTTGTCCCCCATACTCCACGCTGCCCACTGCCCCATCCTGTAGTCAGGGATGGGGGCCACCCCAAGCAGAATCCAGGCAGGAAGCACTGGGTCTCCCCTGTGCCCCCACCACGCACAGGGCACCAACTAGAAATCTCCAGCTCTAAGTGATTCCTTGCCCTCCCCAGTGGAAAACAACTGTTAGCAAATGTGTGGTGTGTGTGTGTGTGTGTGTGTGTGTGTGTGTGTGTGTGTGTGTGTGTGGAGGTGACTTTCTAGCCTTTGTTCTCAGAGACAGCCTAGCAGAAGAGTCAGGAGATGGTGTTTGGAGTCACACACAGGCCTGGCGTGGCCCCTCCACTCTGATTGGGGGCTGACAACCCAAACCCTGTGACATAGGATGTTGATCATGGCAATCTCACATGCCTAGAGGACTGCTGAAGGATGATCTGAGATGATCCCCAAAGTGAGCCTGGCCCACTGTGAAATCCCTGTGACAAGCAGACAGCAGGGTCATGGGAGAACCTGCCACTGCACACACGAGACTGCCTCTTCAAGAGAAACAGACTAGGGGCCGGGAGTGTGCTGAAGCAAGCTAAGCTTCTCATTACAGTGCTAGCATCCCCTAGAGGTACTGGTTCATGTCCTGGCTACTCTACCTCCCTTCCAACTTGCTGCTTGTGGCCTGGCAGAGCAGCAGAGGATGGCCCAAGTGCTTGGGCTCCTGCACTCACATGGGAGACCCGGAAGAAGCTCCTGGCTTTGTACTGGCTTAGCTCCAGCCATTGTGGCTTTTTGGAGGAGGGGATCAGCAGATGGAGAATCTCTGTCTCTCTTTCTCTCTGTAACATTGCCTTACCAAAACAAACAAAAAGGAAAGAGAAGAAGAAAAGAAGACTAGAATGTTCACTTCCTTGTTAGTTACTCACTGCAAACACAGTTGCTCCTCAGCTTATGGTTTCAGGACCCCCTCACATACCACACTCCACAGATACTCAAGCCCCTTATATCAAATACATGCTTTTTAGGGCTGGCCTTGTGGCACAGTGGGTTAAACTACAGCTTGTGACTCTGGCATCCCATCCTGGAGTGCCAGTTCTCATCCAAGCAGCTGCTCTGCTTCCAATCCAGTTCCCTGCTAAAGTGCCTGGGAAGGCAATAGAAGATGGCTTGGGTACTAATGTCATGGGAGAAGTGGCATCTAAGTTTTATCTAGGTCCTTATCTTTTACTTAAAAGCATTGTAAGGGCCTGGCGCGGTAGCCCTGTGGTTAAATCCTCACCTAGCACGCGTCAGGATCCCATACAGGTGCAGGTGCTGGTTGTTCTACTTCCCTTCTGGCTCCCTGTTTGGGGCCTGGGAGACCCAGAAGAAGTTCCTGATTCCTGGCTTTAGGTCGATTCAATTTCAGCCATTGTGGCTACTTGGGGAGTGAACCAGCGGACAGAAGATCTTTCTCTCTGTCTCTCCTACCTGGAAATCTTTCTTTCCAATAAAAATAAATGAATCTTAAAAAAAAAAAACAGAAAAGCATTGTAAGCACAGGCAGAATATACAGTGCACCAAGTGATGAATTTATTTAGAAAGTGAGAAATCAAGCATATGCATGAGGGAATGCAGACATCTGGGAGATTTATGACACCTCCATCAAATTCCACATGGCATTTAATACACTAATTTACACAGAGACCCCTCTGCTAGATCCTAGATGAAAAAGAATCTTGGGAGAGTGTCTGACAAATGGGATAGAACATGGGGCACAGTCTTGTGGTTTGTGACTTCCAGCTCAGCCAGCTGCCTCGGCCCGTATCACTTGACCCCAGTGGGTCTCAGGCTTCTGGCTTTGGGCCTGGCCCAGCCTCAGCTGTCATGGCCATTTGGGGATGGATTCTCTCTTTCATTCTCTCTCTCTCTGCCCACTCCCCAAATGATTGCAATGGCCAGAGCTGGTCTGAGCTGGAGCCAGGAGCTTCTTCCAGGGCTCCCATGTGGGTACAGAAGCCCAAGGATTTGGACTGTCCTCTTCTGCTTTCCCAGGCCACAAGCAGGATGCTAGATCAGAAGTGGAACTAGGACATGAACCAGCATCCACATGGGATGCTGGTGCTGCAGGCAGAGGTTTAGCCTACAATGCCATGCACCAGTCCCAAAATATATCTTTTAACAAGAAATTTCATGGAGGAAGTGATATTTGAGTAGGAATTTGAAGAAATAGCCTAGAGAAGAGGCTATGTCTTCCTAGTGGAAGGCATGGCAGGTACAAATGTCCTGAGAAAGGAAAACTTGGTTTGTTGGAGGTTCAGTAGTTCTTCTCCTTCCTGTCCCAGCTTCTCTTCCCTGGCACTGGAGAAGTTCTGGTCTCAGGACCAGACCTTTTGCCACAGGGACAAGGTTCATAACATAGGTGGCCACAACAAAAGCTTGCATCTCCTGAGCCCTCGGGTGTTGGATGAGGAAGCCTTGCAGTGGGGGGGGGGGGGGTGGCTCTGGTGGGCAGAAAGCTTGGATGCAGTGGAGGGGGAGATGGAAGGGGGCGTGGAAATTCCCCCTTGTGCTATCCGGGAAAGAGCAAATGCTTACCCACAGGTGGTTGACTCAAGCCAGAGGGAGATGTCAGTGGTTACCCAGCCACCTCACAGAGCCCAGACGTGGGGATATGCTGCATGAATGAAGTGCTCATCCCAGTGCCTGAAGCCGAGTAAAGCTCGGCAGAGAGAATGTTCTAGAACAGCATCCAGTGAAGTGGATTGGAAGGCACAGGTTGGGGAAGGAGTGCAACAAGGCAAGTTTATCAGGTGCCTCTCTGCCATCTGCTTCCACGGTGGCCTGACGCAGCCTGCAGATGGTCTTCAAGACCCTACCCATCACCCATCACCCACCACCCACAACCTCACCCTTTCTCCATTCGGCCATGCTGTTCCCTAGGTTAGTTCTTTTCCAAGCCCCTTACCTCAACTGCCACTCCTTCGGGCAGGTATCAGTGTCTTTGAGTATGTGGTGTTAGAGCTGCTGTCTCTGCACCCATTGGGCTGTGAGTTCCGGGAAGCAGAGGCTGTGCGGGCCCAGCAGGTGCCCAACAGCACCAGCTCTGTTAGGCGTCCTTCGAGGATATCCTGGAGAACCAAGGTCACTCGTAGAGTCCCTGCTGTGTCTGGCCGTGACCTTCGCTCCCTTTTCCCCTCCTCTTGGTTTGTCCTGCAACCCCATAAGGGGGCTGCACAATTTTTCATGTTTCATAGACATGGACCGTGATATTCAGAGGTTAAGAGACTTACTCAAGGTCACTGTACCCATCAGGTACAGGGGGGATTCATATTCAGACCCTTCTGACTCCGTGTCCCAGGGTTGGGAAGGGGGGTGTTCAGGGTGTACACACCAGTGGAGCATAACTGGAGCGGGGGAGGAAGACCTCCGCAGCCCCTCTCCCAGCCAGTGTTGCAGCGCCCGCCCACGGTCGCGGGACGCAGACTGGCGGCTGCCTCCGGGCCACGTGGTGCGAACGGCGGGCGCGTCCGAGGAACCCGCAGCGGCTCCCGGCTCACAGCGCTCCCGGCGAGGAGAGCGGGCGGACGCCGGGAGCAGGGCCGGTGCGGGCGGTAAGACAGGTGGAGGAGGCGCAGAAGAAGCGGAGCGATCGGGACATTGCAGCCAGCGGCGTCGGGGCAGCGGCCTGGGCGGCTCGCGCGTCCCCGGACCAGATCCTTGCGCCCAGGGCGCACGGTGGAGAGGGACGCGGTGCGCGCCACCCGGCCGCCATGGAGCCGATCCCTTCGGCGGGCGCCGAGCTGCAGCAGGCACTCCTCGCCAACGCCTCGGACGCCTACCCTAGTGTTTTGCCCAGCGCGGGCGCCAATGCGTCGGGGCCGCCGAGCGCACGGAGTGCCTCGTCTCTCGCCCTGGCCATCGCCATCACCGCACTCTACTCGGCCGTGTGCGCCGTGGGGCTGCTGGGCAACGTGCTTGTCATGTTTGGCATAGTGAGGTAAGTCAGCTACGGGCCAACGCAGCGGGGTTGGGGTCCACTGACTTGGGGTCCCGGAGTCCCGGGACCCTGGACTCCCCTGTCCTCGGCACCTCCTGCAGGGGGCGCCGCGCGGAGGCCACTTCGGTTGAGGCTGGGCCGCAGGTCTCTTTGTCCGCGTGTATGTACGCCGCCCGCCTGCCCGCGCTTAGCCGAATGCTGTGTGGTCGTCTATGGGTATTCTCTTGTTGCCGCATGAGGGCTGTGGGACAGTTTGGCGGCAGTTTTGTGTGTGGGGCACGGTGTGTGCAGGGGAGAGATTGTGCCAGTACAGGTGCGTGTTGGGCGGAGATGTTCTTGGATGGAGAACACGATGCAGGTGGAGGAATAGGAGAGGGTTGAGTATCTGCACCTGGCTGCAGGGACACTCACAGGTGGTACTGAACATTCCACGGCAGCTGTGTGCTTGTCCTGAACTGTTTGATTCTGTATGGGAAAGTGACCATGTGACTATTGCTTCTGATCAGCCCCCCAGCCTGAACCCCCGCCCGTGAAGTCCCACGATTGGCACCCAGAGTGGCATCAGGCCGCTGTGTTTTGTGCAGCCGGATGTGTGGATAGAAAGGCTATGGCTGCTGCTGCCCCAGGGCTCCTGCCCCAGGGGCAGGAGGTTAGAACTCTGGGTCTGGTGCTGGGAGGCCTCCACCCTCTTCTCAGCTACCCCCTCCGGGGTTCTCTTCCCCTCCGGGAGCAAGAGGGGCCTGTGTGCCTGCTACAGGCAGCTGCTGTGTGTTTGGGTGAGAGCCAGTTTGAGCTTCCCCACCCCCGCCCCTCCCCCTGGAAGTGAGGTTTGGTGTCCACGGACAGTGCTGCCCTCTTAGTTTAAGACAGTAGCAGCACTGCCCAAGGAGCTCTCCTGACAGCCCCGACAGCTTGAGCAAATAGGGCGGAAAGGAAGCTCCCATCCTTAAAACAACAAAGATGCCCTGGCCTTTAGTGTTACTTGGAAATGGTCCTTGGTGATGGTTGACCCAGGACTTTGTCCTAAACCTCTCTGGGCTGCTGTGGTATCAGCAGGCAGAGCCGAGGACAGAACCTGGATTTAGCATTTGGAGAAGCTGTGGTTGCAACCCGGGTGCTATTGCTGGGATCCATTCCCTGGCCCCCTACCTCCCCCTCTGCCTCGGTTTCCCCACGTGAACAATAGAGAACCAATCTCCTCTACTGACCAGCAGGAATTAGAATATGGTGGGCTGGAGCCCCGGATGGGATGTGTGGGTGTCAGGTGGCTTTGGCATTGATGATCTCTAGGGGATCTTGCTTCCCCGGAAAGGGTGCAGGGTGCAAGAATATCCTGTGCTTTCGGTGACTCATCGCCGGCTGCTGTAGGAGACCCCCTCCCCCTCTGCCCCTAGCCCAGGCAGCATTGATCTTGGCTTTGTGTTTTTGTCCATGATTCTTCCCCACATGTGGCTTTGAAGAGGGCCGGCCTGAATGTTCATCCCCCGCTCTGCCGTGACTGACTCCACGCCTCAGGCAAATCAGTTATCATATTGGAACCTTCAGTGTCTTTCTCTAGCAAACGGTGGGGAAGTGGTCCTAGAGCCTTCTTCAACAGGGTTGTTGTGGGGTGTCAGCCAGAGCACACATGTGGTGCAGCTGGCCTTGTACCCCAGCTCCCCCACAAATGGAAGCTGTCTATGTCATGAGGAGGAGTGGTCTTCCTGATCTTGCACAATCGCGTGCTGGTTAGAGGGGGCCGCGTGCGGGCAGTGCTTGGCCTAAGGTGGGTTGTGAGTCTGAGAATTACCATGAATTCCAGGTTGCTGGCACACAGCATCTCCCATTGGGAAACGCTGAGCTTCATGTGTTCCTACTGTCCAGAACCTTTTGGCTGCTGGGCTGGTGGGCACAGCCTTCCCACTCACACTGCACAAGCCCCTCCCCTCCACTTCCTCCCATCCACCCTGGGGAGGCGCTGGGCTCAGACTGCTCAGTGCGTTCCCAGCTGCCCTTCCAGGAATCTCATTGTCAGATGCAGGCAGACAGCATAGCTGACCTCCAGAGGCCCCCGGCCTGCCATCTGCTGATGGCTGTGCCTTGGTCTGAACGATTTGCACCTCACCTCTACAGCCCTGTGGGCTGGGCGTTGGAATTGTCCCCATCAACCCTCTTGGTTTACAGCCTGAGTGAGGTGTCTGCAGCATAGAGAGAGGCACGGGAACTTGTTCTGCTAAGTAGCCGCAGCAGTGTTAGAGCCAGGCCTAGAACCCTGCGTTGCGGGCTCCAAGTTCAGGACATTGTGTGGCGCTGGCCAGGGTAGGGGACGACTGGAGTGCTGCATGGATAAAGGCATAACCCTTTCTCTCTTTTGGTCCCTGGCTTTTGAGAGAGGCTGCAGATCTAAGGACTGACTCTCCTACTATTCAGCCCTTGTATTTGAAGCCGTTGGCCTGTTGAGGTCAGGGAGTTATGGAGGCTGGCATGTGTCTGTCCCTCCTCACTGAGATGAGGCTGAGGATGGGGCAGCTCCTGGGGCTGGGCTGCTGCCTTGGGTAGATTGTGGAGAAAGCCCTGATCTCTGCAGGGCCTGGAAGCCCAGCATCCCCCGGGAGTTGTACCCTCAGCTAGCAGTCCATGGTACCTGAGAACAAGGCTGCTGCATAGGTGAGCAGGGTGTCTCAGGGCATCTGGTACCCCGCAAAGAGCAGCCTCCCCACCCCCAGCCCTCTGCGTGTGTGTTTGGCCATGTGGTAACATGCTGCTGGCCTTGGGGATGTCCTGGTCCTGGATCACCCGCTTCCGCTTGGACACAGCAGGTGCATTTAGTTGGTATCTCAGAGAGAGCTCTGTGGGTAAGAGGGGAGTGTGAAGGGCCCCTCCTCTTACAGCTGATCCCTCTTCCCTCCGTGTGGTCCAGAGCACCCTGCTTTGTGTGTTCCAGCAGCCACACAGGTGCACGGAGACGGCCCTTCTCCAACAGCCTCTGGTCTGTCCTGCAGCCGTCTGCTCCAGTCTGCTCCCGCCCCTCCCTGGTCCTGGTTTGGCAGGTGTGAAGCCTGCTGTGTCTGCACCCCTCCACCTCCCGCCTCTCTGCAGCTTCAGCTGGCTTCCCTGTGCTGTTCTGGTTTCACCTGAGCCCGCCTCTCTTCTGACTGCTCTCCTGACCCCAGAGCTGGATACAATCTTTAGTTTTTCCATTTACCTCTTAGCACCTCAGGTTCCCTCTCTCTGATGTGGTGAGCAGCACCCAGCTGAGAGGTGCCTTGAGTGAGTGAGGCATCAAGTTTTCCCTCCCTGCAGGGGTGTCTTCCACACACAGCAGGCTGGGAGGATGGGGGCCAGGCAGCTGGGGCTGGGACGGGCTCGCGGCAGGTGAACGGAGGGTCTGGTTGTCCCTCTGCCTACTGCCCAGGTGTGGGGAACATGCTTAAGTGTTTGGGAACACTGTGTCCCTGCTTTTCTTTCTTTTAATTAAAGCAGATTTTTCACTTAACATGAAAGATGGAGAAACAGAGAAAGATGAAAACAGAGAGATTGTCCACCCATTGGTTCACTCCCCAAATGCCCGCAACAATCAGGCCCAAGCCAGGAACCTGAGGCCCTGTCTGGGTCTCCTCTGTAGGTGACAGGAATCCAAATACATCAGCCATCATTAACTGTTTCTTCCCAGAGTGAGCATTATAGAAAGCCACTGGGCCGGAAGCAGAGGAGGCCAGACACTCCCAGATGGGGTGTGGCTATGCCAAGTGGTAGCTTAGCCACAGAGCCAAACCCTGACCTGCCACCGTCTTGTTTGGGATGGGGCCTGGCATGTACTCCTTGCCTGCTTGTCTCCGTCCATCTCCCAACCTTTTTTTTTTTTTTTTTTTTTTTTTTTTGCCTAGGTTGAGATCCTGGTCCATAGCCTCCTGGCCAGGAGGAATTCCAGTGTGGTGACATGGTACCATGGCAAAGGTGGCAGCTAGCGGTCAGCTGGGACTCCTTGTCAGGTCCAGCTCAGCCATTTGCTAGCCAGCTTACCTTCTCTGAGCCTCATTACCTTGTCTGAAAGCGTGGGCTGATTCTGATAGGTTACTGCGAAGAGTGGATGAGATGAAGCGTGTCTGTGCCATGATAGGGTCTTGTGTGTCAGGTGCTGTGATGAACCAGGTGGCTGCCAGTCTTTGGTTGTCTGTGTTTGCTACCTCGGGATCTGTCCCATGCAGATTTACTTACCCGCAAGGATTTACTGACATTCGCCCCTGCCAGTCTGCCCAGCCTTGGATCCCATGGCCCAGGCCCTCAGAGGAAAGCTCTGCACATCCTTTGGCGTCTGACACAGTCGGGCATGGGAACCCCTGGTTTGTTGCAGCTCCAGGGACAAGGGTAGCTTCCTGGGGCCATGGCAGTTCAGAGGAAGCCATACTTATGTAGACTTGGGAAGAGGGAGCAGCCATTGGCTCCGTGGAGAGAAGGGGGTGGGACATTTCAGGCTGAAGGCAAGGCAGGAGTGATGGTTTAAATATCCTGCATGGAGGGGAGGGAGCTTCACTCTCCCTGAGCTGAAAGGGCCAGGAAGGACCAGAGTGGCTGTTGGATGGAGAAGTTGTAGGGATGAGGGCAGGGAAGGCGTGTCCTCATTGTAGCTGGAAGCACTGATGAGTCCGTCCACAGCATCCCTGCTTTTCAGGCTTCTTGGGGAGGTGCAGGTGCCTGAGGGAGTTCATTGACACAGGTAACTGCAGGGAGTCATCCTGTTGGAGGAAGCCAGACAAAGGCTGGAGACAGGCGGGCAGGGCTGTGTGAGGTTGCTCAGGCTCTGGCTGTCAGACCAGGCGCAGGGCTGAGGCTGGACAAGTCCCTGGACCCACGGGAGAGCTCAAGGTGACAGGTCACAGGAACAATTTGTGCAGGACAGACCTGGTGCGAGTGTGGGTGGGGCAGACAGAGTGGGGAGGGGTTCAGTGAGGCTCAGGGAAGCGGGAAGACAGCGAGGGGTCCTGGAGGGGTCATGGACATCTTGGCCTTAATGGTCCTGC